CCTCTTATATTTTTAAATTTTAGAATTTTTTTTATTTGCGAAGGTTCTTCTATAAAAATAGAACAGATATATATATATATATATATCATACCAAACCAGAAAATACGGCCTACTACCATTACTGTAAAAACAATCTTATAATTAATCAAGCACGAGAATTACTTGGGCACAACAAGGATCTGTTTGAAGGGCTAGAGAGTTTGCAAAACCGTGAATATGCCATTGCAACCCTAGTGCAACCATCACCACGCCAGAACCCCGCCGATTGGAAGACATAGACACAAGAATGCCAAACGCAAAGGTATTTTCCAAATTTGATACAATCTCGGAGACCACTCAGGTGGAGGGAAAAGCGTTTTACGTTGATTACATTTAAAGGTCGGTAGTCGTCGCACCGCATCCTGTTCGATATGGGACTCATAGCGACGCATACAACGCGCGTGAAATACATTGTTTATTTACATGAAATTCGAACACGCGCTGCGCGACGACCACCGCGCTTTAACATCATGTAGGGGAGATACAATTTTAAATATATGCCATTTAGAGTTCTTGAAATTTGGCAATAATGCTGATAATCCGGGTTAAAACCTCCTACGGAAATAACTAAACCGCGAAACAAATCAGAAATTCAGACGTTTCTCCGTATACCTTGCTAAATTTCTTTAGAATGGACTTGGGAAGATAGCCATGATGCAGCCTATGATGTACCCACGGAAAAGAAAACCATCGCATTGTTTTTTATTGCAGCCGATTTCATTACTACTTATATTGAGCTTAAACTAAAACGCTGCACAAAATTACCTCCGTTCAAAATGCATACGCACGATACACCTTAATATGACATAGACATTATCTATAAACCAGTGCAACAAGTATTTGTATCTGATAAGTTTCTTCACCACAAGTCAATAATAACAACGATATTCAAAGTAACATAAGTGAAATATGAGACAGCGAGAGACCCCCCATCTTGTTAAAGTTTATTGACCCTTTCCCGTTCAGGATGGTCAAATTATAGGGCACATATCACTTATATCTTTCACATACAAATCGTGATGAAATCATCCATTCTAATGGGCTATTGTTTTGGAACAATCAAGTGATAATCCATTCAAATATGCGACCATGACCTATGAAAAAATACACGCACCCATCAAAGAGTAGGGAATTCAACTTGACAACAAAAGGCTCAATCAATCATTTTTGGTATAAATAACGAAATTGAAGAAATGAACCATTTAACATACTAATATAACACACCATGTGAGGAATAGTTTACTGCATCTAATATATTATTATACATTTGTCACCCTAACGCCATAAGTTACAGCGTGCCGTAATTTTGCGGTATTTTACGGGACATGTTCATCCTACCATATAAGGAAATGCGAATTCCAAACATGGAATGATTACACGCGTAAACGTCTTCTAATAATAACAACAAACATGGCTGCCACCAGAGTTTGACCGGACTCCACACGAAGAAGTTCGCTGATTCTGCTCTAAAGATTTCGGATTTCGGCATTCCCATGATGTATTCTTGCGCGTCGGTCGATACTCCAGCTGTACTGTCTTCGTGCATACTTTGAGGTATCCTCACATTATCAGCTTGTTCAAACAACAGTATGTTTAGGTATGTCTGAGTGTTTTTTAAAGATCAAAGGTATGCTTACATGTCACCAAATGTGGCATATATTTTCCCACAAATCTAACAAATTTTCATGTTAAAGTAAATCACGCCAGGCATGTCAATCATTAAAAAACAAAACAAATTAATAATATAATTTAACTGAACACAGACCACATTTGTACTTGGATCATGCATCTTTGTAAACTACTTGCATGTGGTTTACGAGAATATGTATGGAAGCATGTAGATTGTCGTCAATGTCACAATCACCCTGGATAAAATATCGTTTTGTGATTGGCAAACCGTCGTAAACACGCACGGAAACATCGTTTCACAGCCAAACGAACCATTGGGATTATATTAAGCTAACCGCTAACAATATTCTCCCGAATTGTCGTTTTTGTATGGAAAAATCCCTTGCATATGAACACCTAAAACACTTTCCCGGATGTTGTTGAAACCGAATTCGCCATTCAACTCAGGAGCCAATCAGCGACGGTCTTACAATTAGGTGACAATTTCCGTTTCAAATACCCTGGTAAAGTGTTATATGTTCTTCGTTATTTCAAACTTCAAATCCCAAACTTGAGAAACTCTAATACTGCTTAGGACACCGAGTAAAAATGCACTAATAATGTCACCAAATAAATAAATAAACCCACATGTCAAATGAATAAACAGTCTGTGCATGTTTTTAGACAAGTAAACCAAAGTGTCATTTCCTGTTTCGCAGTATTTTACTTCTGTATAAAAAGGATGAGTTATAAATAATTTTGGCAAGATACCATACATATTTTGGTGTTAATTTGGTCTACAGTATTGAACAACAATATTGACAAAAATAGATGTTTTCGTGTATATTGCATTCTAGAAGATACCCGTTAAAGGAAACTGCAAATACGATATACTAGATTCTGCTTATTTACAATCTAGATTTTCAATTTTCATTGAATATTATATTTAAAGCGCGGTGGTCGTCGCGCAGCGCGTGTTCGAATTTCATGTAAATAAACAATGTGTTTTACAGGCGTTGTATACGTCGCTATGAGTCCCATATCGAACAGGATGTGGCGCGACGACTGCCACCCTTTAATCTCTTCTTAAATTCAGTAAGTGCAATCCATAGCTGTTACCATGTATGCGGGAGAAATTGCAGAAGTATAATTACCATATTATTTCAACATATTCTCTTCTTCTTCTCTAAAATGGGCAAGTAACACCGACACACCGTTGTTATGGAAACGAACACTTATTTTGTCACGTTCGTAAATTAAAATATGATCCCAAACTCCTAACGTTATCTAAATGGCAGTTGAATTCAACTGGGCGATCAACGAGCTCAGTGCCCCCAATTTTCGATGTTATTCCAACGCTTGATAGTAATCATTCGTTTCAATTTGAATTTCCAAATTATTTAACTATTCATAAAATAGCAGGGAATGAGTTGTGTCAACAACATATTAAAAAATGTCGTTTATTCATGTACTGTATTTACCCATCATTCATTGCAACATTGCATTTAACGTACAAAGTTCACCTGTCGGGCACATCGCAATCATGTCGACCTACGAGGAAGCTGTGAACGCCCAAGCTATTGTCTGGTCTGACGAACAATACTCTCTCGCTGAAATTGTTGAAAAGTTTGAGCATAATCTTCCACAGCTTGTCCGTGTCTACCAAGGTATTTATGGTTCGGAGTCATTCTCCACTGGTGACGTGTTCAAGGTACAGGGAATACGCCGTGAGCGTAAGATACTAGCGTCAGTTGGCCTTCAAAACATCCAAATTACGATTCCATTCTCATTTCGGGGAACGCTGCGTGTCCTATCAGACCAACGAAATTCGAGTATCCCTCGTAACAATGAATATAGAGTGGACGAGCTTCTCGAGGCATTCACGTTGCCAGTTAAGGCTAAGTTTATTGAATATGATCGACGTACGGCCGAAATGTTGTCGGACCTTGGCGGGGCCGAGCAGATATTCACATTTGAGAGAGAATTGACCGAGACTTATGTCATAGCTAGTACGAAAGTCGAGAACGTTCGACATATGTGTGTAATGACTGTGAATCTTGAAATCGAGTTCGAAATAGTAACAGATGATGAATCAGACGCCTCCGACTACCAACTCATCGTTGAGACGTTTCTGCCAAAAATTGAAGTCGGAAAAATGATTGACGTGCCTTATTTAGAGTACTACGAACGACCAACTGTTTATGAGCCAAAGAAGGACGATCTTTATTGGAATGCCGAAGTGGATGCTTACTTCAATACTGCCCCGGTCGCAAAACCTCGAAAAAGAACGCCACTTCCAACAGTCGCTCCAAAAGTGGACAGAAAGACGAAGCCCAAACAAGAACTACACTGTAGGTATTGTTTTAACTGGCGGGCCCTCAATAAGAAAGGTGGTTGGGGTGGGTGAAATTTTATCGTGGCTTGGTGTCCAAAATTGGTGGAAATACACTTGCTTCTTGCTTCTATGCTAGTAAGAAATTACGTTCATCATATTCTTATCCAGGAAACTTTCCCCGCCCGACGTACAATTGATGCGCCCCTGTTCTTGTGTCCAGTTATACATTGACACATACGCACAATGTAAACTAATCGAGCGTCGAACAAAGGTACATGGTACACGATGACGTTTGACCTTAGTTACACACATATACTATTCCCAGGGTTATTTCCTCGTAGAAGAGCCCATGCGAATCAACAGATGTGAATATATCTGCTTGTGAATATGAAATGCGATTAGTTCTAAAAACCTGAGTTGAATTACTATTTGCCATGTTCATTTTATGGTATCACTTTTTTATTATTATTACGCCATTCCTGGACCGAATTTATACTTTTATTTCATTATTACAACCTTGTATTGTCATTATTTAATCATTTCACCAAAACGCCACTATTTTATCATTATTAGGTCACTTTTACGTCGTTTTATAATTTGTATATATGCTGGTAAATTATTCATAGTACAGAGTTATTTGTTTTTTTGTGTGTTACTATTTGACCATGCTTGCATTATCTACAGATTATAATCTTTTATTTGAACAGTTCTCTTTGTTTCACCTTGATGCTACACGTCATGATTATTTGATTTTTAACACTGTTAGCAGCATGTTCATATTATTATTCGTGTGGATATATTTCACTGGACAGATGTGTATATTATTAAAAACATGATTAGTGACGTTTAATTAAGTTGTAATTATCGTTAGTCAATGCAATGTTGTAATGTTACTACTAAATACGAATCGACATTGTATTCAAAGCAAACAATGTGTTGACCCCCAATCAATTAGATCCAAGGCTCAGGAAGATGATTAGTCAAATAAAACCAAATTGGTAGTTTCATCTGCCGCTCAGCACCTCTAACCAAACGGTACTTTGCGCAAAGAACGACATTGTGCAATATTACCTTAGCAGTATGACACATTCAAACAAGGCAATGTGTTGACTCTTGGGCAAATAGATCTAACGCACATCTAGATGATTTAACAATTAACACCATATTTGTAATTCCATCTGGCGTTGATCACCCCTTACCGACTAGATAAACAAACAGTACTTAACGCTAAACGCTAAACATAACGATGACGTATACAATGTAGGCAATCAATTAGATCTGTCGCACACGAAGATTGTAAATAAAGTAAAACCAAATTGGTAATCGCATCTGCCGTCTAGCACCCTTAACGGACTAGATAAACAAAGATGTAATTTACTTTAAGTAAAGACACATCCTCGTTTGAATTTCGCATTGATTTAAATGTAGTGGTAATATTGTACGTTTCCAACTTTTCACAACGTACCGTATGTGCATCTAGTCCGTTAGGGATGCTGAACGGCAAATGTAATTACCGGTCAGGTCCTTCGTTGACAAACCATCACTCTGCGTGTGCGTCAGATCTGATCGATTGTGAGTCGACACATCGTTTGGGTCGAATATAACGTCGATTCATATTTATTAGATAGCATGTGTGTGGTTTATTCTGACGAGTGTGTTTTAAACGGTAACGGTTGGGGGACTCTAACGGTAATTACATCACAAATTAACATCTGCCGTTATGTGAGCTGCCCATAAGATACGTTCACGCCACTAAACTACCCAATATGTGAGTACAATGGTTTTCGGAAATTCTATAAAAAGTATATGAGAACGAATGTAGGTTCAATAATGAGGAAAAACGCAACTAAAACGGGTTATATTGAACTCTTTATCGCTGTAAAGTGTCAAGTTGTTTACTTCGTGCGCGCACAGCCGTTCACATTCGAAGGGAAATAAAGACGTTGTTCGCGGCTGTTGCTATTAAAACAACAACTTGCGTTAAATGTTATCACAGCAGATAGCTAGCTTGAGCTGATTAGGAATCGTCATTTGTATTGACACATTCATATGCTGGTTTGCAAAAATGAAAACATATGTGTTAAATCACAGTGTGGCGGCTTATACGCAGGTCAAATTTAATACAAATCCAATAACCATTATTATTAAAATATTTCCCAAACTAAAGTTCAATATATTTGCTGTGATGTCTGACTAATTACCATAACGATCTGTATCGAATTTAAATATCATACACATGTATCGTTAGGTTCAATACACACAGATTATTATATATTGTACATTATGACAATTTTTTTATTTTGTCTTTAAGTTGTGGCATTTTCATATGTTTCAAACCAGACTATGTGGCACTACAGTGCGCCACTGTTATTCTTGTCGTTTGTTTAGCTGATCTTTGTAAACAATCGTCACTGTTCCTAAGCAACGACGGAATGCATTTTATATGTTTCGGATAGGAGTCATCTCAGCGATAAAATGCTTGGTGTGATCGTGCCCGGCGCCACGCAGAATTGGCTTGACCCGACCACATGAACCGACGTGCGCTGACAATGATACTGATATCTAGGGTACGACATACATAATGCTAATCGAAAAAACAAACAAAACAAAACAACCGCTGATTATCCAATAAAAACCTCATTGAAACAACGCTAACTATATTGACCTATCAGTGCTTTCTAAGAAGCCGTTGAAACAGACACTTTTTTTATTCTTTTATTATTTTTCCGAACATACATATAGGTTGATATACAGTATACCTACCTAACCTTTTAAAATAACCCCGATGACAATACAAACTGCGCCGATTGACCGAACCGTACATCTTTAGGGATTTTCCTACCGTGGAAACGGAGCATTTTACTCTGATTTGTTTTTTCCGGCCAAAATTACATGTCCACGACTTAGATGTATCAGACATGATGTCCCCATCTCTAGGCATTGATTACTTATACATCACAACAAATAAACATGTAACACTCAATTAGTACTCGCAACGCAGCAAATGTATTAGATACTATACTGCTAACAAAAATATAAGGAATGTACCCATCACTGTGCATTGATTAATGCAACTGTCAAGTCCCTCTGATGACATTTATTTAAATATAATTATTTGTAGTGGAGAATACATATGTTATCCGTGAAGAACTTTCCTATGGCCATGATCCAGATTTTGAAGAAATACCGGGTATGTATGAATAAGTATATACTCGCAGTATTTATTTTTTCTATTCCATCTTCTCTTCCATCTTTTATTCCACCCATCTTCCCTTCCTACATCATTTCATCCTTCAATTTATTTATTTCTTCATCATTTCGTCTTTCATTCCCTCCAACTCCACCCTTCATCATTCCACCTTTCCTTCCTTCATCATACCATCGTTTTATTCTTTTATTCTTTTTCTGTCTCTTCATCCTCCCCACCCCCTCCCTTCCTTCCTCCCTTTCTTCCGCCATCTTTCAATCAGTCCTCCCCCAGCATTCAACTTCCCCTTTTCAGAGTTCCATTTTCCATCATTTCATCCTTCTCCTTTCGTCATTCCATAATTTCTTTCTTCTTCCTTGGTCATTTCAACTACTGTTCTTCACCATTCCATCCATCCATTTATTCATCCATAAATTTACCCATCTATCCATACTCCCTCCCACCTACCCACCCACCCACAATAATTCATTCATTCATTCATTCGGTCGGTCGGTCTTTCATTCATTCATTCATTAATTCATTCATTCATTCGGTCGGTCGGTCGGTCTTTTGTTTGTTTATTTGTTCGTTCCTACCACATTTTGGAAACCATTTCATAAACTAGTAAGCCTGCCAAATGAGCATGACGTAATTTGTTATTGGTTTAAGTTTGGCATTTTTCAAAAGAAGTTGGATCAATATTAATACAATACATTATCTTGACCAAACACAGCTTTTGATATCAGTTAATTATGGCCTGTTTTGAAAAGATTATGTGGGAAATAAAAACAATTGAGTGATTTGACACAAGTTCAAATTTGTAATAAAAGACACAGATGGCAAACAGATGGCGTCCTATTGACTTTTCGTTAGCCACGATGAATTGCATCTATACTTTTTTATCAGACGATAGGGTGAGTTTTACTCAAAATATTGGTTGAAAAGATGAAGATTATTTTATATATTTCTTTCTCAATTTTTTAGAGGAAATTCGTATACGACGACAGCAGAAAATAGCGGAAATGACAGCCAAAGAGGTAAATGTAAATATTATACAATAATGTACAATCAAGAGGGAATAGTTTATAATAATAATAATAATAATAATAATAATAATAATAATAATAATAATAATAATAATAATAATAATAATAATAATACAAAAACACAACTCACAAAATAAGCAAACTTGCCAACAAGTTCACGGACAATTTAGTCAACCATGAAACAAAATAATACAAATCTAGTCACTGTAATAATTTTCTTTAATTTTAGACTGATACATCCACCACTGTTGCTGTGGTTACGCCAACTCCACGCCCTAAGTCAATTGTCGGTCGATTCCTCCCAGTGAGTAGACAAATGTTTATTTTTTTGGAATACAATATGGATGAAATAATATGCAAAATGACAATAATATCTTTAATCACTTTGATAATTTCGCATGACCAACTAGATATTTGTATTCATGTCATTTAACTTCGCTCTACTTAGATTTATTTACAATTTGTTTATTCACAGCAACGTAAAGAGCGACATCATCCCGGAAAACACCAACATAAACACCAACAGAAACAAGAACAACAACAACAACAACCTGATATATATGCGAATGGCGATGACATAAAGAGAAGTCAACTCGACATATCACAAATGAGTGTTAACGACGTGGCTGCATTTCTACGTAACGAAGTTCACGTTGACGAAAGCGTTGTTAAAATATTTGTGGAAAATGAAATAGATGGCGCCTTACTCCTCGATTTAAATGAGGACATTCTTCGTCAACAGTTTGATATTGCACATTTTGCTGCTCTTAAAATTATTAAATCTGCTCGGGGTTGGAGGCCAAAGGTTAAGTAGGTTACACATTTTGTGTGAAATCAAATTCGGGTGATGTTGAGACACGAGACTAACCAATCAATTAGCAATGGCAGTTGAATCCAACCAGCAAAGAAACGCCTTTAGCAAAGTGATACAATGAATAATCATTTCCAACGTTTTCAAAAGTGTTTATGAAAAATGTTTGTGACACAACAAACCCATTCTGTTAATTTTTTTAAATATGCATAAATGTCAATGGCAATTGAATCGAACAATCACAATGTCTAATGACGTCATATAGAAATGTTTCAATGCTATTTCATTTCTAATAGATACCTGTCGTATCAGATAGTAGTGTTCACTTAACTTTAACTTCAAAATGACAACCATTTTGAATGAAATTAGTGACAACTATGACTTCTATAAACTTTTAACTTGAAAATAAAATCAACCTTTAACTATTTGTTATGTAGCGTATGATTGTAGAATTTAATTTCAATAATTTCAATTTGGCATTGAAATTTAAAGGAGAAACAACAACGCTTACTGTAGAATAGAAAATGTTAATATCATAAGTATTTCCTCTTACCCTCTAACCCTCTATCAAACGTAATTGGATATTAGTAGCATTTTCATTTTGTGTGGTAGCATGAGAAAATGGCAAAATAATTTGGCTACATAGTAACATATTCAACTTATTTTCCCTAAGCAAATTAACTAAATAACATATTAGAAAAGTGTTTTCTTATCGAGTTTAAATAACGAGTAAATAGTAGCTTATTTAATTTACTATCCAATCTAATTGTTGCCTAGTAAAAAAATATACTATCCGATATCAGATTTCGTACTGTTCATTTTGTTACCAATAGTACGATAATTGTAGAATTTTAGTGAACGTTCGATAATTATAGCATTTTAGTGAACCTCACAAAAAATGGTGCCAAAACTCCTGCTTTCGAAGTTAAAATAATGCAAAATGTATTTGTTTTTTACATTAGCTGGGGTTTGACTTCAAAACCATGATTAGCTATCAGTATGATCCCATTTTGAACTCCGCTGATTGTATGGGATGACGAAGTTTGCATCTAATATTTCAATTAATCAAAACTATACACGCAGACCACAATTGAGATGACTCAATACAACGCAGTAGAACGGACGTGTACCAGCTACGTTTTTACCGTCACTTTGTTAAAGGGATATCCACATGAATGAATATATTTATAAACAATGTATTTGGTAATGCGACTTTATTAATTTTGCACGTATATCTAACTGCTAAATATTCTCCTTTTAATTAAATATTATCCATCTCATGATCATATTTGGATAAACTTATTAGTCACAAGATCTTCATTATGTGGATAATGGATTAGGTGGTTACAGTCAAGCCCATGGTGTATACATAGTAATTCACTCGAGAATTGAGATAATTAATTTTAATTAAAGTTAATTTTACAAGTTGAGATGTTGTACTCAATACGGTAGCATGCAAGTAGGCATACCGAGACACATGTACTGGCAAAGATCAGGAATAGGTAGCTTCCATTGAGTAGGTTCCATCATTGGATACAGAGCCATTTATAATATTTACAGTCTTTGCAGCATACAGTGACTGTGTATAACAGTACAACATTGGGTGTCATGCCACAATGTTTACTAGAGATTGGAAGTTTTAATTACTTTACCGGGTTTGCCTTTGAGAACATGTCATCATTGTGATATATGCAACAGTGCTTGAGTGAGATATTTTATTTATGCATAATAATGAGGTCAGATGACCCACTCCATTCAGATAACCGATCCACGTTACCTGGCCTATGTGATATTTGTAGGAAAAAAATGCATCTCCAGAGTGGGATGTACATGCAAAATGTCAGATCAATAAGACTAATAAAACACCCGCAATTGTAAAATTGCCGTTTTTCATAAAATTCAAGTTGGCGGCTAAACCATGTGACTGATCAAAATTACTTCTTTTTTATATATGCAATATGTGAAATATTATGTTAATCATTTAAAGTACTCACAAGAGACCAATGCTCAAATTTGTAGCATTTTTTTTCCAAAAATCCAAGTTGGCGGCAACACTGAGTGACTGTTCAGAATTATTTTTATGCTATCTGAAAAGAATCAGTGTAAAGATACAACATGGCACATTTTAAAACAATAGGACATATGTGGCATCAGTATAAAATTACTGTATAAAAGAAATTCAAGATGGCGACCAACCAACGTGATTAATCATGAAAAACCGCTGATACTTTAAACATAGATGCTAATTTATCTCGTGGCTCAAAAGAGATGGTTTTGTAATTACTTTTAGTCATTTTTTGTGGACAAATCATAGCGGCAATCTCCATTTCTGGCTCAGAGTAAATCCAATATTGTGACCAAATTGGTACCTTTAATCGACTTCTTCTCAAAACCTGTTCGTCATCTAGTTTGATTCAAAACGGACTTAGTGAAAACAATTACGAATTTCAAAACAGTATAACTGCTAGACCAATAGACCGACCACCTTTTAAAAGTTATTTGCACCTCTTCCCATTTCCACGCACCAATGAATAAGAAAGAAAAAAACACACAATAAAAATCATAACAAGAGTGGCCAGTATACTGTACTGCTCACAGATGTAAACTAATATATGGAGTGGAACATATAAAACAAATGATTTATTGGAACACCAGCTAGAAGGCACACTCGCCAAGTGAAGCTTATCACTCGGCTACTATACTATTAGAAAATAACTTAGGGAACTTCCCTGACAGACGCCATTAGACACATTAAAAATATTTGAAACCACAGTAGTCCAACATACACAAAAAAAATAAAGATAAAAAATAGAACACTTCTACAAATTAGCCTATTAAATAATGTCCTGTGCTTCACCACTTATATTGCGTCCATAAAACATGTACAAAGTGGAGTCAGGTGACATTTATAAAATCGTTCTTTCAGGACGAAAATACACATGTCTGTTGAATGCTTTCTCGTAAAACAAAATGTATGACACCTTGTAAATATATACTTCTCAAGGTGTATTGGTAGTTGTATATATTCCACCGTGGTAAAGGCACGGAGCAGCGTATTCTAGATGGACTGCATCAGTCGTTTGTGATTTAATGATGTGCGTTTTCATAGCATTGACAAATAATCGGCGTTGAGTATTGAATACAATATCGATTGCCAGAAAGTATGCCAACGTGATCATAATGGGATACCGATGGATTAGTCTACTCGATCAGATAATTACAAAATTGGCAATTAATAGTAAATCACCACATACTTACAGAGCCTGGGATTACAAAAAAATAATTCTAACCTTTAGTGTTGTGATCCCAAACTTGCTCGCTCAGTTAATTTTCGTTACTCAGTACTCAGCATCATCATATGAATATTTTTAGAATTTGTATTGGTATTTAATCTTTTAAGCATTGCATCTCTTGTCTAGCCTAACGATTCAGGTAAAATTTGTTATACTCTGTAATCCAGTGTAAATAAAATATTTTGAGGTAAAAAATATGTTTTCTTCAAATATATATATTTTAATTTATTTTCACTATCAGTAAAATATGTGGTAGAACGTGAAATGACAAAGCTGAAAACTTTAACTTTGATTAAATTTCGATGAGGTTATTGGCTCTATCACTTATTACCAGCATAAGTGATTTGCTCTAATTTTGAATTGCGCTGAGTGCAACCAAACCATATTTATCACAGGGGTGTCAGCAGTCATCTCTAGGAAAGTTTTCAACATATTTTCATCATTTAGATCATTATATTTTGAAAGATTAAAACGAAGTAATTCAAACGAAGATTATTCAACAAAACATATTCCAGCGAGGTAATGAGCAAAACTTACTTTTCCCGTAAAAAGAAAAACCCTATTTGTATTAGTCAATATGTCGAATACTATCACCTAACAAAAAACAACAACAAAACATTTTGTGTTCCAATGTTTCAGTTAGTATGCAAAATATCCTGTTTCTGCCATGTATGACCAATACACACGACAAGACAACGTAGCACAACAATTTTTCTGATTGGACCTCTTTGTTTCTATAACTCAATTGAAACGTGTGGCAGAAATTAAAAAAAGTAATTTATTCGAATAACATGTTTTTGCCGTAGCGTCTCGGATATATCTGCCCTATACATTACTCTATAAAGATGCATTCAGTTTAAAATACAACGTTGCCAAATTGTGTTAGGTCAATTGCCAGTCACTACACGTTTTTACACATACATGTTTCTGAACAAAGGCAATACATGACACTTGAAGCAGGACACTCTATGAAGAATGTGATTAAAGTTAATTCTTAAAAGTCGATGAGCTGTGTAATTGATTTTCGCGTCCTTACTCTGATTGTAATCGCTCGTTTTGTTGGGGGATACCCATTAGTAAAAAGGTGGAAAATTGGAATCATCTCATTAGAACACACGATTATTTTCTGTGTAAATTGCATGTTAATTGCTAGTATTTGTATTGTACATCAGACACAATACATGATTATTTATGCAAGTATGCGTGAGTATACTTTTCGCCTGTACATATTATTAGTAATATTGACGTTATTGTGTCGTTTTGAAGTTACATTTGGTTCACGTCTATAATACTTGTAATTACTTAAACGGGAATCGGCAGATTAATAACCATTT